ATAAATATAATTTATATTTAGGATGGATGATAGCCAGGTTGAAATTTGTGTATATGTGTGCTTTCCTTCTTTTCAGATAGAAAGTATAATCCTATTTTTGGCAGGAAGTCTATAAAGCACATCTTTCTTTAAATATTGGGGTGGGTGTTGAAAGAACGTAATGCTTCCCTTCCAGCAACCACTGGATGGCAGCAAAAGATCAAACTTTCTTCCTTCCCTCCCTGCTGCCATCTGTGTTATACCAGATCTCAGCAACCTCAGCACTGTTTGCTACATCTAGCCACCATATTCTAGATTGGCTTCTGATTTCATAATGACAAAACTCAGAACAGAAATTGGATATTGAAAATCAGCTAGAATGGAATGGAGCAACAGAAATTACAGAGCAATTTATTTCATTCATAAATAGCATATTTTCAGTTCCATGCATATCTCTGTCCAGCAGTAATATATTGAAAACAGGCTTTCCAACCCTGAATCAAGTTCAAAATGAACAGTGTTTATTATTTACTGACATTTAATATAACCTTCAAATTTAGGATCTGGCAATAGAAATTGTTTGCAAGTGTAGCAAGAGAACACTGTAATAGTTCAATGCTTTTTTTCTATTAAAATGACCAGTCTTTGTTCTCCTACCATATTTACTTCTGACTGTCACTTTAAAAACTTAGGCCATGCTTTCCTCTTCCTGTCCAAAGCTCAGACCATGGGTAATTATTACTCTACAGACTGTCTATCTACAGAAATACACGTTTTTTTTTCAAAAACACTGCACTCACCCCTATCGACTGAATATGTAGACAATGACAGTAATAACAACCTTACTACTACTACTACTACCACACCTGTCCCTCTAGCTTTATCCAAATATTGGCTGGCCTCAGACCCATCATGCCTATCCCGTGGAAGCATCCATATTGGAAAACACGTTAAAACAAATATGCCAGCGGTCTTATTCCTGAGCAACTCCTTCAAAGAGATGATTCTCTTTTAGGGCACTGCTCTTACCAGTCAGACTTAATCCAAGACTTTTCTCGAGAAAGTCAATGTCTAGATGCTAATATTTTCTAGGCCATCAACTATAATGCAGCTGCCAATGAACAATAGCATCTAGGACTAGGACAGATAAAGGAGTAGGAAGTTAATGATACATTTATACATGTTGCTCAGTACATCTCCCACCACTTCTCACTTCCCATATCTGGATTATTTATCAAACCAGCCTCTTCCGCCTGGTCAAACACTAGCTAAATCCTCCAGCCAGAGCTTAAGAATTACAAGAGGGTATTAAAAAGGTAACTAGAGAGGTACTCTAGTTTGAAGCAACATATCACAGAATTTCTCAGAGAAAATCTCAATCAGGAAATCCCATGCTCAAAATTTTTCTTCTTGCTGACTTGGGTCTTATGTGTCTGTCTGTTGATGAAAATCTATGTCCTGACACAGATGGTATGTACACTTCTCAATCTTAATAGACTGCTTGACCTGGATTGCCTTTCATTAAAGAACATAATTTTTCCCAGTCTTTCCCTCACCCCTTCTCCTTTTCTTTCTCCATCTGTTCAGAAGAAAAATTAAAGACAGAGGATACTAAAATGTTCTGTGATATTTTTATACTCTTCTATGCCAATTTTGTGGTCACAAAGCACAGCTGAGAACTTATTAACCAATTAATGGGAAATAAATAATGCACCCTTCAAAATGGAAACAAAGCAAACCCCTTAGAAATACTCTGAGTATGATCTCTCAGGAAACTGTAATTGCAGTTGTGATAAACCATTAGGGTAGTAATCATGGAACTGTGTCTCTTGTGCCAATGGTGTTTGCTTCCAGCTAAACATGAAGCTAGTAATGAAGCCATATTTACAATTTGAAGCTAATCTCACTTTAAGTTGGGTGTTACGTGACAGATGATAATAAGAACATTTTTTTACCCAAGTTATGTTGATAAACTGATAGACATTGTATAAATGGAACTGCATCTACATGGAGGAAAGTGTGTAGTAGGATGCCTCCGGGCTCTCTTCTGGGATGAGGGGATAGATGGGGAACTCATCAAATTTGCAGACAACACCAAGCTGGCAGGAATAGCCAACACTCCAGAAGACAGGCTTAAAATACAGGAGGATCTGGACAGACTTGAACACTGGG